CTTAGGGTTTGGTGCTTGGGGTTTAGGGTTTAGGGTTTGGGGCTTGGGGTTTGGGGTTTAGGGTTTGGGGTTTAGGGTTTAGCGTTTGGGGTTTGGGGTTCAGGGATTATAGGGTTTTGGGCTTAGAGTCAGTAGGCAAGGAAGCAAGGGGAAAGAACATGGCAACTGCCACCTTGGATTAAGCCAGTGCATTATTAGGGTGATATAGGCGATACCATAAACATCCATTCTTGCCTGGCATGATCATATTCCAGTATCAAGATGAAGATACTGGGCAAGGAGGCTCAGCAGTTCGGGGTTCAGGGCTTGGAAGGGTCCAGGTGCACTATTGTAGACCCTGTATTTATAAACCCCCTGCCCTTAGTGGGGATTATACTAGGGATCATATTAAGGCGCTGAACAGGAGGGGGTTTATAAATCATGGGTCATTAGGGTTTAATAAGTAAGTAATCCTGAGTAACCCCGGAAAGCACTTTTTTTCAGTCGCTATGGTATCAGAGTAGGCAACTCATTCTAGCCTGCTTCCAACCCTGAGACTGAGGTCCTTCTTTGCCCTACCGCCCTAGTGTCGTAATTGATTTGGGTGGTTGTCAAAATTATGGTCCCTTTCTGGATCCCTATCATAGTACAGCACCTAATTTTAGGGTACCCAAGCGGGATCATAATTCTTGACAACCAACCATTTGAAGGCCCTTCATGACTGCGCTTACAAGCATCATGGCTTCGATATGTAGTCCCCCTTCAGAAGATAGAATATGGGGTATATGGGATCTTATTATAATATGCCCAAAGCCATATTCTATCTACTTAAGGGGGACTATAACCCCAAACCTTAAACCCCCATATTCTATCTACTTAAGAGGGATTACAACTCTAAACCCTAAACACCATATTCTATCTACTTAAGGGGGACTATAGAGATTTGGAGGGGTTTAGGGACCTTCGAGATGCGCCCGCAAGTCCCAGACCCGCAAAGGCTCCATCAGCAAGTCTGGATTCAAGACCCAAACCTCCTTGGGACTTAGCGTGGACCTTAGACCCTTCCCTAAACCCTAAACCCTATCCCTTTGGGATTCCCTTATATTCCCATTAGTAGGGGTCCTAGTGCCAAGTAGAAACTTCAAGCCCTCAAGTGTGTGGGTTTAGGGTTTAGGGAAGCCCTGCAACCCAAATCTGTCATCTAAGGTCCTTAGGGTTTAGGGTTTAGGGTGTAAGGTTTAGGGTCTAGGGTTTAGGGTTGCCTACCTGACCATGGGCCTGTCATTGGGCTTGTAGGGCTTAAGGGGGTTGAAAAATGCCATCCGTGGTGGGATTTTAGTTTGTGCGTTGCCCCCAAATTGGACACCAAGTATGTAAGTACACTCGCCAATATTCCTGAGGAACGCTATGCAGAATCACTGATGCGGACCGCGGCCTCAAGGGCCCAAGCTAGGGGCCCATAGTTTCAAGTTGAGATAAAGTCTCAACCCTAAATCCCAATCCCCAAACCAGAAGCCCAGAATCAGGATTGCGCAGAACTGTGCAAGGCTCTGTCACGGCTGCTGGCGAGACACGAGGATCAGCTAGCCATCCAGAAGACCCAGGGCTCCTGCATACTGTACCCTAAGGGTCCATGTATCTAATATTTGGGTACTTAGGGCTTTGGTAATAGTAATTATAGTACAGGGTTTGGGAAAGTATATGATTATTAGGTACTTGGACCCTTAGGGGTATTTCAAAGTGAAGTCCGAGGTGACTATGTTGAAGCAGTTGCAGGACCGTGCCGCGCCGCCGCGTGGAGGGATATCAAAACCCGAGATCCTGCCAACCTTCGCATGTCACTCAGAGTGGCTAAACCCTAAACCCTAAACCCTAAACCCCAAGCCCTGATCCTCACAATGCTCAAGGTGACCATGGACAGGAAGCAGAAAGCACAGCCAGGCCCCAGCACGGAGAAGCTGCAGGAAAGGAACACCCCCAAACCCCGAAACTCTAAACCCTAAACCCTTAGCCTTAAACCCTAAGCCACAAACCTTAAGCCCCAAACTCTAAACCTTATATGAGCTAGAGTCTAAACTCCTTAAAGGGGGTTATATAAGGCACTATATAGGGATTACTATAGGGGTTATTAAGGGGGATACTAGAAGTTCAGGCTATGGCTTATATGATTCCATCTTGGCAGCAAGCCTTGGCGCCCAGGAGGTGAAACAGCTGTTGACAGCCAACGGTTTGGAGGTGCATGGAGGGAAAGGAGGGGCTCCTTTAAAGGGGATATGTCTATATGTATATATATATATTGTACACATACATATATGTATATATAT